AAGCCCCCTGAGTTCTCCGACTCTTATCTTGTTTAGACACGGTCATAGTCAAAGTGGAGGTTCTCTCCTCCCTTCAGAGAAAGGCACCTTCCTCTTTGAAGACCTGTTCTTTCCACTGGGATCTCACTCACAGAGATCTTTTTGCCAGAGTGTCTTGGCTTTCCATGCCTGAAATACTCTCATGGGCTTTTCAGCCAGATCCGAGTGCCTTTAGGGCTGATTCTGAGGCCAGAGTGCTATTTAGGACATCCGCCATTCTAACCTCATTGCCTCTTAACAATGCCACCCTGGGGACCAAGCTCCCAACACGTGAAATGGGGAACAAACTACATGCAAACCACAGCGGGGGGGCACCTGTGTTAGTCAATGATCTGTAGTAAAATAACTTTTAAATACCTCACCTCTGAGATACTGTGCTTTTATGAATCTCCTGTATTTATGTCTTTACGGATAAGAAATTTATTAAAACTTAGCGAGTCAGTGTGAGGTGAGAGAAGGTCTTTCATTATTGAGGAGTAAAATTGGGATTGGGCAATTGGGGAATGGGAGAGACAAGCTCTTTGGGATCTTCAAGAATCAGTTTTCCATGATACCTTTTGAACAACAGTGAAATTGTACTGGTCTTCAGCCATTAGGAGTGGAATAATAGAAATGTGGTAGGTGAGGAAGATATTCATTTTACCGGCATGAATTTGACCAAAAGGGTGAACCTTCCTATTGTTTGTGCTCATATCTACTTTGGCTCTGTAGGAGGGCTACTTAATATCTCTTATATTATGAGCTATACAATGTCAATTCGGCTTTTGCTCTGTTCCTAGTACCTTCAGAATATCATCCAATTCCTATTTGAAATAGGCAAATAACAAAGGCAATCTTAGATTCTATCTCTACCGATGTTTAAAGTACCTTTAAGTGGATCATGGAACATTTCTGGTAGTGCAATGAGGAGTCTTTATTATCTGTTCCCAACAATATTTTATGATTCTCATCATCTGAATATTTCTAAGCAGTTTTGCTAATCACTCTGAAATGGGATGATTTATGTAAAATCTTAATCTGAAACCACACAACTGAACTAAGAAAACTTTTTAGTGTAAAGATTCGAAAAGTTTAAGTTAGTTCATTTGCTTTGTTTTTGTTTCTTGTACTGTAATATCTACTTTTAGAAGACTTGTGGAATCTCACTCTATCCTTAAACAGCATTAGGAAGTCAGTATGGTTCTGATCCCATTTTTGCACTGGAATCCTGAGGTGTAGAAGTAGCGAATTAACTCCATCAAGTCACCTATGACTAAAGAAGGGGGAGGATTTTATCTCAGAGCTCATACCCTTTGCCAGTTCAGGAAATCACCTCTTGGCCTTCCGACCATTTTAGATGACTTTATTCAAAGTGATTATCTGGCAGAGAGGAAGAAGGCAAGAATGAAAAAAAGAGTTTAATTTGGGGCTTAATAATAGTGGAATCAGAGTAAGTCTTCTCAGTACCACACAGTTAAAACATAAATGATCAGGGTTGGAGTCTTCATTATGCAATTTATTCAGTGCAAAGATGTTAATGAAAAAGCTTGGTATGTACTTAGAAGGAATTCTGATATTACTTTTCCATGATGTCCCAACAGCTTCTCTTTCCTGTGGACCAAGCATTGAAAAGGTGAATGACAAAAAAAAAAATAAAAGCAAAAGACTTTTTTTCAACTCTCCGGTTAGATTGGCTTAGCTCTCTTCACAATTTTCTTTTATTAAAATGCTCTTAAGTCGCATACTTTCTAATAATTAAAATATGCATGTAGGTTAGAATACAAAATGTTTAATAATACACATATAGATATACACCAAGAATGTTAAACTAAGCAAAAAAATAAGATCAAGCAAAAACATTTTTTGTTTTTAAAAGACAGAAATAATACCTAATAATACTCCAAAAAATGCTTTTAAGGGAAATAAATATAATATAAAAACAATCAATAATACCTACCTAATATAAAATACCTTATAAAAACAATCAATAATACCTACCTATCAGTAGGTTATCAATGTTAACAGTTTCTATTTTGCTCTCCATCTCTATCTCTTATCTGACTATCCCACTCAGCCTTGCCTAGAAGATCTCTCTCTCTATCTGTCCCTCTTTCCCCTTCTTCTCTATGCCATTCTGCCTTTCAAATCGATAAGCAAATAAATCTTTAAAAAGAAAAAAAGAGTGAGTTCCTGAACATACAAGTTCAAGTTCTCTGAGAATTTTGATGCATATTGCGGGTCACATCCCAGAAACATCATACACCAAGAATAACACTACATTTCCTTGAGCATTCGTTACCAGCAAGTATTGTCAAAAATACACTTAGTTATATTTGAAAGAAAAATGTTATGTCAATGTTGTAACATTATGTCTTTAATTTTTAGTGAGATTAATATATTTTTGAATTTTACTGATTCTCCAATGCTTTTTTTGATGTTCTTTTGCCAATTTTTCAGTTGCAGGCTTACTGGTTTCTAGGTCCGAAAGTGTTTTTAAGACAAAATATCCTGTATTTCATAAACACTTTTCATGATTTTTTATTTGCCTTTTCATCTTTTGGTGTGTTGGGGCCAAAATCTTTTCATGTTTATGTTAGAAAATGCATCAAGTGTTTCTTTTATGAGATCTGCCTTTAGTGTAACACACAAAATGTCTTCTCATCCATATTCTCCTATTATTTTGTGATTATGATTTTTAAATTTAAATTTCTCACATACAAGAAATTTATTTTGGTCTTTGAACTAAAATAGAGACCTAATACTTTTTGTTGATTAATAACCTGTCAAAAAATCTTCTTATTAAATATACATCCTACTCATCACATTTACTATATATTAGACTCATCTGTATCTAATTTCTGTCTCCACACACACATGTGCATGTAGACACACATGTGTCTGCAACCCCAGGTGTACCTATGTGTGTACATGTTGATAGGGAGATAGAGACTTCTGCACCTCTACTTTTATTCCGTGCCATCTATCTGCCAGTGTCCTGTAACAATCACCACTGTTTTTTTTTTGTTGTTGTTGTTGTTGTTGTTGTTTTTGACAGGCAGAGTGGACAGTGAGAGAGAGAGACAGAGAGAAAGGTCTTCCTTTGCCGTTGGTTCACCCTCCAATGGCCGCCGCGGCCGGCGCGCTGTGGCCGGCGCACCGCGCTGATCCGATGGCAGGAGCCAGGAGCCAGGTGCTTTTCCTGGTCTCCCATGGGGTGCAGGGCCCAAGCACCTGGGCCATCCTCCACTGCACTCCCGGGCCACAGCAGAGGGCTGGCCTGGAAGAGGGGCAACCGGGACAGAATCCGGCGCCCCGACCGGGACTAGAACCTGGTGTGCCGGTGCCACTAGGCGGAGGATTAGCCTAGTGAGCCGCGGCGCCGGCTTGACAATCACCACTGTTTTAAACAATTATATTAATTATTTTTCCTAAAACTACCTTCTGATCTAATACAGCAAAGCTGACTCCTTCTTTACTACTCCTTAGCCATCTTAATATGCATTTTCTTGGTTTTTTTGGCTTGTTTGTTTTTCTTTTTTCCCCCTTCTACACATGCTCTGTCTTTTCACTGGTTATAAAGTATTACCATGCATTATTGGAACAGATACTGGTCTGTGCCAGTAACATGGACAGAAGTCACAGCTGAGCAATCCAAACGCCGTTGACTCTCCAAAGAAGTGATTGTGCCCGGCATTAGTGCTGACCCTGTGTGCTGACAGCTCCAGGGCTCGAGTGCAGGAAGGAGCAGGAAGTGAGGCAATGTGAGTGTTTGACTATGATTTCACATGGCCGCACTCCAATTTATTTATGGAAAGTGCATATGACCTCTATTCATAGGCATTAGATCTGTATATTCTCCAAGATATGCCAAACAAAGCAAGAACCCCAGAGGTGGTATGTCCTAGAAATTCATATAGCAAAGTAGATAAAATTGAGTTTTACTTCCGCGCAAACTAGAAACGTGGCTTCTCTTAGATGATTTCATTCTGATGAAACAAGCTAGGGTTTGAAGGTGTTCAAGCAGCTGGCTTGGTCTGGCCACTCTTGTGCATGGAGCTCTTCCCAGCTGGTGCAGCAATGAAATGTGTACCTTTCTTAGCAATAAGATGTAATTTTTAAAAATCATTTTCTTGATGGAGAAAATAAATGTACTGATCTCTTGATGCCCTTGTCAGGATGTCACATGTGTAACAACAAAGGTGTAAGTGAGGTCACACCCAGGGACTGTATCCAGGGCGGTGGCCCCGGTAGCTCCACCTTTGCTAAGAGATCCTAGATACATAGGATATCCTGCCCAGGTGACATTCGGACCCCCAGGATCCACCTCTCCCAACCACACTGATTTGTTTTGACCACACATAAATTCACTCCAATCCCATTCCCCATACCCACAAAGTAGCATAAGTCAATTTTCCCTTATTCTTCAAAAGCCCACCAATAAAAACTAGCAATGAGCAGTGGGCACTCACGTCTTTGCTTAACTCTATTAATAGTATCTTGACAATCTCTCTGGACACCCTCTGGGGATATTTTTGCTGACTCAAGTGCAAAGTATGATTTATTTAATAAAACACTGCACGGTCTTTGGAAGGTAATGTGTGCTACTCTGGCTTTCACATTGCAAAGGCAGAAGGAAGTTGATCTCACGTGTATAGTGCTCTAAAATTTAACTTTCAGACAGTGGCAGCCTCTTCCCCCACACCCGGCAGCTACTTAATGAGACCCCTGGGTAGCCACTCCAAAACACACTTTCACAACAGAAGCTAGAAGCCTCTGTATCCATTCTCAAGAAGGATCTGTTTCTGTTCAAAACCCGTCCTGACCTTTTTGTTGAAGAAGAACAAAATAATGTAGTAACAAAAACACAAGTGGCTGCCAAAGGAAGAGAGAGGAAAAAAAAGAGTTCCTGTAAGGGACTGAAACAATAAATCTCCTCTCTGCTGAACTCCCAAAGGGAGTGTGTGTATTTCCTCCCGTTCTTTATCAGAGCCCCCAAAATAAGTAGGAATGGGCAGTGACGGCTCGCATTCAACACACCTTTTCCATCTGCTAAGAAGGCCCTGCCAGGCTGGGAGGGAGTCGTGCCTGCTCGCCTCTGGAGGCAGAAGCAGCTAGGACGGTCCGCAGGCGGCATGGCACTGCTTCAAGGGACGGTGCTTGTTCTACTTCTGTCCAGTCTTGGCGGCGGGCAAGACAACACAGGTACCGAAGTCTGTCTTACTCGTCTAATAGAATGCATGAGAAATCACTAGCAGGGGTCTTTCGGCCTGTTTACTTTCAGGGACCTTCTAGAAACTTTTCGTGTGGCAAGTCGGTTGCTCTGAGGTCACGCTGTGGATGTCGCGGCGGGGCTTCACGGGGTGGATGTTTGCTTTCACTGAGGGGGAAATGCTGGCGGCTGCCCTGGCTGCGAAGTGCATTGGGTGCAGTTCTAAGGGTACTGGGGATATACAGGACTTTTTTAACGTATAAAAATCTGGGGACAAGAAGGCTAATGAAAAATACACCGTTTCTCAGACACTTTTTCTTTTCAGATGTAAGTGCACAAAGATTTTCATGCTTGAGGATGAGTGAAAGGCTTTAGTTAGCAATACTGCACAGCACATGCTAGCCTGGACTTGTCCCGGCTATTGCCCAGCTCTGTTGGCTTTAGCCTGAAGCTGAAGCTGCTTTAAGGGAGTGAAACTTAACATCTTGAGAGAGTGGGCTGAGCAGAGGGAGAGTCACTTGGATACAGTTTATAGACTTTTGCTGTCGATATATGCATGCAACTAAGCATATCCACAAAAGAGTTTGCACTGCATTTTGGGATTTTACAGGTATAAAAACTCTACCCTGACTGCAGGTTAAGAACTCAGGATGAATACATGCATATATGAACCCATACCATGTGAATAACCAGTTACAGAAAGTGGTCACATTTGACTTTTGATCCTTCTTGAGTGTTGCAAAGTAAGCAATTAAATTTTATAATAGTTACTAGGCTTCTCCTCTGTCTTGTCAGTGCAAGGAATATAAAAGTGAGTAACACACTGTCCTGCCACACGGTGGTAAATGGAGCATTGGGGAAAATTAATACATGATTGTAATAAAAGACAAAAACCAAAGTACAAAATACTACAGAAGAACATAGTTGGGAAAGATTCAATCTGACTCTGATGAGCCCTGGGCGTGTGGGAACTAGGAGACAAGACCAAGTTCTAATTTTGCTTTGCTTTTTTTTAAGATTTTATTTATTTATTTGAGAGGTAGAGTTACAGACAGTGAGAGGGAGAGACAGAGAGAAAGGTCTTCCATCTGCTGGTTCACTCCCCAAATGGCCCCAATGGCCAGAGCTGGGCCAATCTGAAGCCAGGAGCTTCTTCTGGGTCTCCTACAAGGGTGCAGGGGCCCAAGGACTTGGGCCATCTTCTGCTGCTTTCGCAGGCCATAGCAGAGAGCTGGCTCTGAGGAAGAGCAATCAGGACACGAACCAACGCCTATGTGGCATGCCAGCACTGCAGGCAGAGGCTTAGCCTAACTATGCCACAGTGCTGGCCTCTGCTTATATTCTTTTCAGAAGTTTGCTGGCTACAAAATCCTAATTTACAGCAATAATATTTTAAAAAAAATCACAATCCTTTTGAGCAACATTTTTTTCAGTTATTTCATCAAGTATGTATATAAATTTGGGGCAATTTCCAGAACACTTCAAAAATCACATATGCTTGCTTACTTGCCATGCATCTTGGAGAATTACTAAGCCTTTGACTTGTAAAAATAAAGGATATTTAGAAGGTGCCACAGAAATAATAAACTAACATATGCAGAAGTCTTCAGTGTGCATGGGAAGGATGGATAGGACCCCAGTGCTATGAAAAACACTGGTCACAAGCACATGACCGGATCACAGAGGTGCGGAGAGTCTGTGTTAGGCTGCTCGCCATTTCAGGCCTGCAGACATCAGCGAGTGCCCTGCTATGCTGGAATGCCAGCCTCTCCATGGATTTCTCCTCCCTCTGAAAGCAAAGTGGAATAGGATCAATAGAAGTGGGAGCAAAATGTAGCCATAAGGAGGAAGTGAATGTGAGGGAAAACCCAGAGATGCCTGGAAGGTGTTTCTGCTCCGGTCATTAGGGGGAAATGCAACTTCTTTTACCTCACCAGTAATGAGCCAAATCTCTCTGTCAATGGCGCAGTCTTTCTAACGCACTGTTAACTCATGAAAGATAATTTCCCTTTGGGGCAGAGACAATGGTTAATAATGCCTGTCTCCTTCGGCCTCTGCCAACAAGTCTGCTTGTCAAGGTAGAGACAGTATCTCTAAGGAAACAACAACTGCAAGAAGGACCCCATTTATATTAGAAAAGGAAGTTAGAGCTCAGGGGCATAATTTGGCCGTGGGAGTAGTGCCTAAAAGGAACTGGAGGAGATTTTCCCACCCGTGTGTGCAATTTTGTTGCACCTGGCTCTGCCTGCTTCATGTTTTCCTTTGCAGATCAGGCAAAGGAAATGAAACATTTCCTCAGCTGATTGAGTACATTCTTTCCTTAATCCTCTGTACCAGAAACGCATTGATTTCCCCAAACTTAGAACGATTACACATTTCATCAGCAGAGTTGACTATTGGGGGTAGGAAGGAGACAGTCCATCTCCTTTCAATTCACAAGTTGTCAAACAGAGCCATACTTTCTTGCAGGATCATTTATTTGCAAATAATGATCTTCTGGAGGAAATAGCTCCTTTTCTTTTTCTTTTTGACGTTTTAGCCAGTCTCATATTTAAATAAATACAATGTATTCATTCGTGTTCTTTGTGATAATCAACGGAATCTTTGTCCATGGCTGTGCTGCTGGTATGATGTTTTCCAATCTCCAATTTAGAAAGATGTTCCATTGAAAGATAGGTTTCCTGAAAGGAAAACTTCATTGTTTTCTAAGGTTTTCTAAACTGTATTTAAAACTGAACCCATCTCAACAGTGGCTGTTCAGTCCCATGGTCTCTTAAGTCTAGATGAATGAGCCTTTGACTGACAGGACTAAGAGAAGTTAAATAAGGGAGGATTCCAAGAAAAAGATGCCTCTGGAAACAATATTTACTCTTGAAATATCATTTTCTCCTTGAAACTTACATTAATTTAGGAATGATTAAAGTGTTTTGGGTAGGCAAGAACTGACACCACTCTATTTGTATCTGAGGAAACATGTAATTGCTTGGAGAAATTCATTTGTTGATGAGTAAACATTCAATTTCAGGGAACATAAATCGATTGAACACACTAAAGCAGACAGCATTCTAAATGCCACGAGCTTACAGATATCAGTGAGACTCAGCCCTTGCCCTAAAGTGGGAGAAGGAGGAGGATAAGCCAAGTCATTGTACATTTGCTTATATTACAGTCTTCAAGAGACAAAGAATGTCATGGAGAGTTTGTAATTAGCTTGTTTTGGGGTATAGAGAGATCAGAAAAGACTTCATATAAAAATGGAAATTAGAATAAGCCTTGAAGCTTTAAAATAAGGAGGTTCCAAATGGGTGAAATTTTCTGAGTAGGAACACTGAAACACCAGCATAATTTACTCTAGAAATGTAAAGAGACCACAAAGTGATCATAGTTAAGTACTGGGAAATAAGATTAGAAATACAGCATTGGGAGCTATGGGATATCGAGAAGAGAAATATTGACTCATCTGTTCATTAGTGTAGGACCTGTAAATGTGTGTGAGTATGGCCATTATATGATTGGGTTGGGGCTATAAATCTGAAGACGAATCTTCCAGCAGAATGTAAATTAGACTGTTGGAATCAAGAGAGATAGAAGTTAAAGAAACTAGTTCAAATGTCATTGCAAGTCTGAGAATCTGTAAATAAAATAGCAAGGAGGATCTGGGCAGAGCATTAAGGGACAAGAAGAAGTGTGATTTGATTTATTGTTTATACTGGCAATGGGGGAGAAGGTAACTTCAGGGTAGCATAGTGTTATTTGAATGCTGAAAATAGGAAAATAGCTGGGAGTGCTGGTTGGGAAAGATTGGAAGAGAAATGATTTAGGAAGAGAAATGCACCTTTTTGGAGATGGTGATTTCGAACTACTGCTAAGACACTGAGAAGAAATCGCCATTGGCAAATTATAGACGTCTGATGTGTAATCAGAGCATGGAGCCAAAGGTGATGTGAAGGGCAAGTGTCCTTCAGTTCTAAATTCAAGGACTTCTTAGCCCTGCCCATTGCAACATGAATAACATAGAGAAACCATTTCTTCCCCTTCTGAATGTGCTCATGTCTAATTCCCTTATGGTACTTATTTTCCAATTGTGTCATGGTTATTTATGTGAAAGCCTTCTCTCTTCTAGCAGTCTACAAATTCCTTGAAAGTCGAAACCATAATTAAATGTTTTCTTGTATAGTTACAGCTGCAAACTCATTAGATCATAATTATATGAATGAATGTAGACATGAATGAAATAGTTGCTTCATTTTTTTAATTCTTTAATTTTTTTCTATGACAATCACTTATCTACTTACTATCTCGTGCTTTGGAAAATGACAGGTATGAATCACGGAACTTAAGGTAGAGTTAAGTAGATTCTTTTGAGTCCAGGCTATGAAAAAGATCACAAAATACAGACAAAACGGCTTCATATCAATGGCATCCAGTTCTAAAATTTTAACAGAAGAAAAGTTATTAATTGTAGGTGGACAACATAGTTCCATGTAACAGTAATTTAGAAGAAAAAATTGTTGTAAGTATAATTATCGGGAAGAAGGGTGTCTAAATGAAATTGATTCTGCTTCTCCTTTTTGGTAGAAATGTCTAAGATAATACTTTATTCTCAGCCAACTCTCAGAAATACAAAGCGGATTGCTTTTCAAAGCAAAGTTCACAAAAAGAGAAGTTAGAAGAAAGTTAAATGAATATTGCAAATTATTACTTCATGAGTCTTTAGGTATTATGAGTTGTTTCAGGGCTGAATGTTTTGCTTAGAAATTCTATTCTGCTTAGTCCACCTCAACATGTCTGACCTGAAATGAGTGATTTATTATAGGAAGGGTAAACAAACATAGGACAAAACCAATGGAAAAAAGTATTTAGTTCCCAAACCATTTCTTGAGTATTCTTTCTTCACTACTCTTGTTGAATGGCCCCTTCTTAAAAATAGAAATGACCATTCTGTAATTCCCATTTTCAGGGAATTCATAACAACTCTCAGAAGCAATGTCTC